CCAATAAAACTTTATTCATAAAACCACGTGGTGGGCTGGATTTGGTCTGCAGGCCATACTTTGCTGACTCCTCCTCTTTGCTCTCACCTGTGTCACCCCAGACATTTCTACATGCGTCAAGAATTTGCCATCCGACTCAGTCCTCATCACCAGCCTAAATAACAAAGCACAGTGCCTGGCACCTGGTAAGCATTCCATAAAATGTGGCTATTTTAAAAAGCCACATGAATAAATTTAAATTTATTTAAATAACAATTTATTTAATTATTTAAATAATTTTAAAATTATTATTAAAAAAATTATCATATGGACACTCAATAAATCTGTGGATGACCATCTAGCACTTGTGGCTCTCAGTCTCTTCATCTGCTTAACTGTCATACTCTGGACTTTGTCATCACTGTAGAGCACTCAATCTCTAACATCTAAACTCTAATACACACTGATCAAAATCTCCTGTTTGTCATTCTCACTCCTTTTATGCTTGCTCTTCAACCTCAATGAGCCTCCAATCCACTTTTATGTCGATTGTCTCCTAATCCATGAGCTCCCACCCATCTTTACTTCCTTCCTATCAAGCTTGATCTCCTGGCCCATTAACTGATCCATCCTTTCACCTACACCTTCAACTCCTGTTTTCCCTCAACTATACCAGATTAGCAAAATCCTGTACCATCCCATCTATCTGCTTTCCCTATTCCTATTCCTAGATGGCCCAGGAATGCTGAAAATGTCTCACAGATCAATGCCATTACAAACTTATGCTCTCCACCCTCAGTTGGGACTCCAGCACCATCCAGTAATACTTTCTCCAATCCTCTCCCATATATTCCAAACTTCCAAGGCTTAAAACTCCTCAAGGCTCCTTAGGCTATATGCTTTCTCACACCTTCAAACGACAGATTTGCCTTGGGCTCTAGTCCCAGAAAAAGAGTTGGTTCTACTCCAATCCACTAGCGGTGCTCTGGATCCATCCCTGCCCCTTCTCCTCCACCAATACCACAAAAACTAAACCCTGAACAATCCAGCCACATCATATGACTTTCTTCACTGCTCTTTAACCATGGATACATTGCTTATCCTGAGCTTCCTCATCTTCAGAAGAGTGATATCCTTGCAATGTTGTCGTGAGTGTAACAGATCTTGAAGTACCTGACATATGATAATCATTCCATAAATGGTGCAATTATTATTATGTTAACAGCTTGAAGGGGAAAGGCAGTTTCAAGAGATGGAATATAGGGTTGGAGACCTTCAGGGGGAAAGGGGAAGCATACTGAAAAGAGAGAATAATTTCCCTTGCCCTAAAATATTCCAATCCTTTGGTGAATATAATCAGTTACTTTGTCAATTACAGTAATTAAATGTATGACTACTCTCTGCTACTCTCACCATAGTCTGGAGCCTGCAACTCCTCTTGCAGTATAACGCTGTCCAACGAGAAGATGTGCTCTGGGTTCTAAGTCTTTTCCAAAAGAGAATACTAACAAATCTTCCTTCTATTAATCTAGATTTAAAGTGATATTCATTAAAAAGGAATTACAGCAATGTTTAACCACTGAGAGGTGTCAAACAAAAGTATTCTATTAGTGATTGTGTCAGAAAGAAGAGAAGTGCAAAATCTGGGGGCAAAAACTGATAGGGTAGTGGTGAAATGCCAAAAAGAAACAGGAGATGGCTTGAAGGGGGCTCCTAAAAGATAAATCCAAGACAATTTGAGCATCAAAAAGAATAATGATGGTAATGGATTCTAACACAATTAATTAAAAAAAGAAAGTCCTTGTCCTTATGCCTATATAGAATAATAAAAAAACAAAACAGGGGCGCCTGGGTGGCTCAGTTGGTTAGGCGTCTGACTTCAGCTCAGGTCATGATCTCGCAGTCCATGGGTTCGAGCCCCACGTCAGGCTCAGACAGCTCAGAGCCTGGAGCCTGTTTCAGATTCTGTGTCTCCCTCTTTCTCTGACCCTCCCCTGTTCATGCTCTCTCTCTCTCTCTGTCTCAAAAATAATGTTTAAAAAACAAACAAACAAAAGAGCTCCAAGAAAGAGAAAAACCATTTATAGAATAGTACCAGTTAATAAATGTGGAAGGAATAAAGTAACTCGAAGATCACCACTGTGCAACCTCCAAAAGTAGAGATCATCTCCATGATGTGAAAAACACTAGGTGAAGAGTTAACAGGAAATCCGCAAGAGTGACAGGATATCTGCATAGTCCTGAAATATTACTCCACAGATTACTTTTTAAATGTTTATTTATTTTTTAGAGAGAGTATGCATGTGCACATGTGTGAACAGGGGAGGAGCAGAGAGAGACAGGGAGACACAGAACCCAAAGCAGGCTCCAGACTGAGCTGTCAGCACAGAGCCCGATGCAGGGCTCGAACTCACAAACCAAACCATGAGATCGTGACCTAAGCCAAAGTCAGACGCCCAAGTGACTGAGCCACCCAGGTGCCCCAAATCCCAAGCAAGCTCTGCACCATCAGCACAGAGCCGGTGCTGGGCTCCAACTCATGAAATGTGAGATCGTGACCTGAGCCGAGATCAAGAGTTAGACGCTTAACCAATTATGCCACCCAGGCACCCCACTTTTTAATTACAAAGATTACAAAGGGAAAAATGTACCTTTATAATGGAGATATCTGGCAGTTGTCCTCTTAATCAAGTGATGAAACTTAGCATCAATAGTGAAAATAACCTAGTATTATGTGGCTGCAGTAAGCACACAGCATCACCCACATACTTTACCCAAAATCTTTTATACTGAATTAATGAATAAAAAGCAATCAATCAGTCTAAAGTCTTATTGCTCAAAATGTGGTCTAAAGACCAGAATCATATCATCTGGGAGCTTGTTCAAAATACAAAGTCTTGGGACCCTAGACAACTCAATCATAATTTGCATTTTAACCAGACCTTCAAATGATTCACAGGTACAAAGTTTGAGAAGTCCAGTATAAGACAAAACACCTAGACTTTTCAAAAAAAACATCAATGTCATTAAAAAAAAAAAAAAAAAAAAAAAAGAGCAGTGTGGGAGGGGCTGCTCTTGATTTAGAGAGACCTAACCACCAAAAGCAATGAACAAATCTTGACTGAATCCTGGATCAGTGGGGGGAAAAGTTATAAAATACATTTCAAGGAGGCAACTGGGAAAATTTGAATATGTGCCTTTTATTAAGTTATATTAATATGAAGGTTCTTAGATGTGATAATGGTATTTAATAACAGAATTTTCTTATTCTTAGAAGATACAGGCTGAAATATTTAAGGTAATATGTCTACAACCTATTATTTTTTTTTTATTTGTTTATTTTGAAAGAAAGAGCGAGCAGGGGAGGGGCAGAGAAAGAAGAGAGAGAGACAGAGAGAGAGAGAGAGAGAGAGAGAGAGAGAGAGAATCCCAAGCAGGCTCCACACTAACAGTTCAATGTGGGCTTGAACTTACAAACCTTGAGATCATGACCTGAGCTGACAACAAGAGTTAGATGCTCAACCAACTGAGAGACACCCAGGTGCCCCCACAATCTACATTTATATAACTCATAAAAACATACGGAGGGAATGCATAAATGGCATGGTAACAATTGGTTACTCAAAATGAAGAGTATGTAGGTGTCTATTGTGCTATTCTTTCATTTTTCCTTTAGGTTGAAGACTATTAAATAAAAAATGAAAGGTGAGAAAACTTCAATTAATCCACAACAGAAATGGTTAAGTTTTTGGCAGCAAACAGCATAATTTGTATACAACCTTGCATCTATCTTAAGATCTACTGTAGAAAATACAGATAAGCGTTCAACAGATGTTTGATGAGGGAAATGAAATTTATTTATTTAAATCGTATTTCAGCTGGCAGAAATTCTTAAAGCTGCTCCAACCAGCTGGCTGTCAGATTTATATGGAACTATGGACTGTCATGCAGTGAGAGGCAATAGAGTGTGACAGTAAAGGTTTTAGGGTCAGTCAGTCCTAGTGAGGGGTCCTTGGGCAGATTTAATCTCCCAAAGCCTCAGTCACTCTTTCTATAAAACAGAAATAAAATAGTACCTTTTAGGGTGGTTATAGAAATTAAATAATATATAAGATAATGAATATAAAATACTTAGCATCATTAATAAACATTAACTAATTTTATTTATCAATAAAGTTAGCTAAAAGGTATTCCATAAAATGAAGCTAACGTTTTTATGGACCATATTTTGACTTTATTTTGAGGATTACAAGTTTTCATACGATCTAGGGGCCTTCTGTGACAATTTTAAGTCAAGGGGAGAAGGCAAAACTATTTTTACTTCTTATTTTTATTTGGTATCTTGAAGAAAACGCATTTAGTAAGATGATAAGCAATTTTTCCCCAAGTTGTAAAAGCATTTTAGTTCTTCAACTTAATCTTAGTGAACCAGTATAAAGTACTGAAGATTAGCAAAATGAAGCTATTAAAAATGACTTACAGAATCAAATTCAATACTTAGAAAATTTGGAAATAATTTTGTCAAGTTACCTTAAATTCTCTTGATTAGAAGAGTTGTGAAAAGCCATGTTTTCATGGGAATTTACTGAACACACTTTTCTGGAAATACTTAGACAAAAAAATAAGCACCTATCTTTTTGGCTTAAGTGGACTTGCATCTACACGAAACAGAACTGACTTCAATACATGGATGACAGTCTACCCCAATTATTCTATTAAATTCTAAGCAGTCTCTCCTAAAGGTTGGCAACTATAGCTGGCAGGCCAAATCCAGCCCACTGTTATTTTCATTAATATAGTTTTACTGTAACACAGCCATGCTCATTCATTTATGTACTATATTATGTATTGTATTTCAAGTTGAAAAGTTGCAACAGAGACTGTATGGCCCACAAAGCCCAAAATATTTACTGGCCCACAAAGCCTAAAATATTTACTATCAGTCTTTTATAGAAAAAAATTGCCAACCCCTACTCTAGAAAAGCAATCCAAAAAAGGAATAAATCCTGTTCAGGACTCACCTGAGGGGTTGTCTTTTTGTATTGATCACCTCCATCTATCACATCCCTCATGATTTTTTCCTTGAGAAATTCATACTCTTCTGGACTCAGGTGAAGAGACTCTATGGTTTTTCCACAGCCCGAACACTGACCACTGTAATTACAAAAGTTTGTGTTAAATGGTATCCTGGAAAAGAATTTTCTCTAGAATGAATAATCCTAGGACAGAAAGAAATTGAAAGGTAATTTAAAAAGAATGTTATAATCTTTGTGATCATCACATGCAATTTTTTGTAAAACTGATAATAACACACATTAGATATGCCAGAAAACCCGAAAAAGTAGACTGCTGGGCATCCAGATAAAGTATTTAAACTTATTCCCAAAACACAACTGGGTCCCAGATCTGTAGGGCAAAATATCTCTGAGGCTTCACATAAGGCTCACTGCACCTATGGGAAAAACATGTTGAGCACTGCAAATCCTCCATATGCCAAATATGGCTTTTTTTTCTTGGGTACTCTCTTAATTATCCTATTTCTAAAATATTCTTAAAATGTTTTTGATCGGTAGCAACAAAACCTCCTAAACCTGAATCAAACAAGTTAAAAATAAAATACTGGTCTTTACCTTCCCTGGATTGTTGTGAACTGTCCTTTCCATTGTTCCCCAGGAACACTACAAAAAAAGATTACAACACCAAATCATTACGTCAGATTCCTAAAACTTGAAACAATATAAACAAATTGATAAAATAAATGAGATAATAATTCTAATTTTTTAAAAAAAAGAAAAAAGGTCAGATTCCCATAGAACCAAAAAATAGGCATTTTATTTAGAAACTGTCTTTAGAAACTCAGCAGGCAAGAGCTCTGAAATGTTCAGGATACTTCCCCAGGATGGTTTAATTAGAAGAGTGGGTGATACACTGTGATGGGGCTAAGGAGGGAACAGTACCCTACTGTGGACCTCCTTCCCTTCACTTCTCTGGTCATTCAACCCTCATCTTCAAGTCTAAATCTACTTTCACGGGATTGTGCAGCTAACATTAATAGTGTAACCTCTAAATCAAACTCAACTCTTTCTCCATGAAGCTGCCAGAGATTGTTCCTGCCCAGAGTAATTCCTTCCCTTACACTATCTTCTTATACACCACTATTAACTGTCAAGTATTGCATTCTCCATTAGGTTGTGAATGCCATCATAATAGATCTTACATCACAAAACACCCAAAGTGCCTACCCAAATGGAAGCATTCAAAACTACCTGATTTATTTGCTCAATCAATGTATTCCTTTTTTTTCTCTCACATATACTACCATCAGTTTCTAAGGACTCTGTTGCCTTCTCCTTCCCTAGTTCATAATTCAGGATCTCATCATCTCTCATTCAAACCTACAATTGCCTCCAAACAGATCTTCCTATTTTCAATCTTAATCCCTCTCCAACCTTTTTTTCTGTTTTGGCAATTACCTTTTTTATTTTTATTTTTTAATTTATTTTTTGAGAGAGAGAGGAGAGTGAGTGCACACGCAAGAGAGCAGGGAAGGGGCAGAGAGAGAGAGAGGGAGACAATCTTAAGCAGGCTCCATGCTCAGCGTGGAGCCTGACACAGGGCTCAATCTCATAACCCTGAGATTAGGTCTCATGACCTGAGCCAAAATTAAGAGTAGGATGCTTAACCGACTGAGCCAGGTGCCCTGGAACTCTACTCTAAGGTAACAGAACAAAACCCAAAATCCTTGGCATTCAAATAATTTCACAATCTAGCTCCTCCACTCATATTCAACAAATTTGTTAAATAAGATAATTAAACATGATTGCTACTTCAAAGCTCTGTGCAAAGGATATACATATAGTTGAAAAGAGAAAAACAGAAAAAGAATGAATTTTTTTGAAAGTGCCTAAAAAAAATTAGTAGTGAATCAGTGAATAAGAAACTGAAGCAATAAATAGGGTCACAGCCAGGAACGTGAACAAAAAGCAAATGGAAAGCAGAGAGCCTTGGAGAGAGCAGTTGGGTGATGGAAAGATACAAAATGAACTGGAATGAAGAGATTTTCCACTTTTAACACTCGCATATCATGTTGCTCAGGCTTCCCTTATCTGTTCTAAACATCCAAGTTGATGAAATGCATAGATTAAACAGATACCAGTCACTAGGTTTCAGAAGAACTTCTGAAAATACTAATATGATCCAAAGACAGCTCCAGTTTTCTTGCTATAAACTCCAGCCATAAGTACTATTGGTAGGCACATCAAAGTGAATACCTCAGAAAAAACAGATGATCCTTCCAAACAGAAAAAATACATAAAAACATACAAATGATCTATAATTTCCCTTTTATGTGATGAATGGAAAATACAACAACTTGTTTATGCTATTACTTTTTTTAAAGAGAGAAAATGTTGTCTTTAACGAGAAATAAATCTCAAGGAAGGAAAGTATAATTTGAATAGAGTAATTCTCAGCAACAAAAAAAGGAGGCAGCTGCTTTTAGATAACAGTTTCAATTAAAAACATACATATAAAAAAATTAAAATTACCTCTCAAACCATGTTTTTATACTGTGTGCAAATGATTCCCCAGGATATAGATGATTATTTCTTAGATACAAAAGAATGTCAAATAGCTTGTTTGAATACTGATCATCTTTTATGTTTTTTCCAAAATCAAAGAATGCTTTTAAAGTTTTCAACATAGGAATAAGATTATGACCCAACAATTCCTGATACAAATTCCACGCTAGGTTTACATCTTGGTGAAGGAGGGCTCCCTCGATACAATCATTGTAGTTCTTTTTTGAAGGAATCATGACTTTTTTGATATCCTCTAACAGCAGCAAGGCCTCTTTCCATCTGTCTGAGTGGATTAATCCTTGGATGAGAAGAGTATATCCTCCAGGTTCTAACCTCTTGTATCTGGCTTTCATGATTTCATAGACATCAATAACTTCTGATATATGTTTATGAAAGACGCAGAGATACAAATACTTGACCAGCAAATCATAGCCTACAATACCATTGTTTTTTGCAGCTACCCAGGCTAACAGAGATTTGGCCACATCTATAGAGCTATGGCAGTGAGCCATTTGTGAAATGATCCAACTTTCAAAATTAGCCTTTCCTTTGAAATCTTCCTTCAATTTATCCCACTCTTCTGAATTCAGAGGTCTTGTTGGAAGTTGCATAGTGTTCCTCACAGGTGGCAAGCCATGATCTTCCCTATGAGTATTCATCTGTGATCTCTTCTTAGCTGCTCCAGCAGCAAAAAGATGGGAATCAGAAGAAACTTGATTACTGCCTTCATCTCCTTTCCTGAGATATCTGGCCTTGGCAATCAGAAGATTCACTGCTTTAGTATTTTGTGGAGACACCGTTTTAAGAGAAAACCACTTCTGTTGGTTCCTGATGCCACAATAGTCTTTGAGAAAGAGAGAGAAATAAGAGTGTCCTGGGCCTACGCTAAGGTATGGGTTGCTCTTCCAAAACTTAGGAAGGCTTCGAATACCAGTGAAACAGAAAGTCATCATGCGGTGAGATCAGCACCAGATATAATTAGAGAGATGTTCATAAAGCCCCTACTTCTACAGCGTAATTAAGGAATTGGGCGTGAGGGGCGAAGAACCAAAGCACAATTTCTTAAAAGATGATTTTCATTTTCTCACAGACAAATCAAGGATCTGCTTTTTGGGCTATTAATACAACGAAGTCTGGTGAGTTCTCTCCATTAAACAACCATCCAGGGACAGCCAATGTTAGTCACAAGTCCCAGAACCAGGCGATAGGGCAGGAATCTTCTGGTGGCAGATAAATTCCAACCTATAAACCTGAGGAAAAAGCACAAGGAGGTCCGTCCAATTTGTTTCGCGTGTGTGCCCTTGAAAAAAGGTAGGATCCCATGGGAGCCTTGCTGACGGAAGGGCTTAAAGTGGAAAACCGCTACCAGGAGTCCCCAACCCCAGACCTAGCAGCAGCATGGACAGCGGCGAAAGCCCAAGTCTAGGAGCCCTGGGCCTGCATTACAACCCTCCCAGGCCGCCAAAGACGTCAGGTAAGGATATGAGGGCAGGGGAGGTGGGGAGACAGCAGAGCCAACAATTCAAGTAAGGAAGGGAGGTACACAAAGGTCACTGCCTGCTATGTACGAACCGATCACAAACAATGTTCACTCCATTCAACAACTCACCTCAGCACTCACGCTGAACGCAACCATAAACACGGCGGAAACTACCGCATCCAGAATGCACCGCGAGGGCCCGGACCGCGGGGGCGTGACAGAACTCTACGCGAGCGTTTCGCTGGGCCGTAGGGCGATAAAAAAAACTACTTTGAAGCTTTTAGTGGCAGAATTGGCTGTTGACGTCTGCTACATTCAGAGAACCTTTATGGCCTCTAGATATCAGCAGTGAGCAATGAAAAGAAATTGTGAAGGAAGAAAACCTTCCCCCCGCCCCATCCCCGGGCCGGAAACGCTTAAGGACTCCTGAGTCACGTGGCCCATACGCGCCTAAGCCCCAAGTTAAAGAACACGTGGGGCTTCCTTATCCTGAACCTTTCAAATTGGACTTGGTGAAGTTGGGTGCTGACTTGCAGAGGATTGTTTTTAACGTCCCTTTCAAGTCCGTGTTGCCCGCTGTTAACGTGATTAGCCGTATTCGCCGCAGTGGCAATAATCGTTTGTTCGCCTCTTCAGCCGACTTCCGCCCATGTCCAACATGGCGATTGAATATTCCTGACCTTTACGGGGTTGGGCGGTGATTGCTGTCTGAGCTGGTAGGGGGTGGAGCGGTTAGTAAACAGCAAATGCAGGAGCTTCTGCGCGGGAGTCAGCCATGGACTGGAAAGAAATTCTTCGCCGGCGATTAGCGACGCCCAGCACCGGTACTAACAGTGAGTTTGGGAGGGGCTGCTCGCAGAGATAGCCAGGCCCTAAATTCCTGAAGATGCGGGGAGATGCGGGAGAAGCAGCTACTGGGAGCCGCACTTTGCGCTTCTATGGAAGCTCTCTCGATAAAGGCAGTTGGACTGTGATTTAGGGTTACTGAAAGGTTTGATCCCCACTTCCCGGGAAAAGGAGTTGCGGAATGAGGAGCTACCTTAGCACCAATTTACGTGGCTGTGACCTAGGCTTTTGAGGAATAATTGAGAATCCCAGTCCAAACAACTCTTTAATCCTACTGTAACCTATAATCCATTGATCTTTTGTCTTTTTATTATCACACTTTTTTTTACTTCCCTCCTTATACATTTTAGATTTCATAATAGATTTTTCCCTTATCCCTTCCCTTCACCTTCACGCTTGCCTGTTAACCAACCTGGTTAAAACTATCTTTCCTATTTCACACGTGCCTTCAGGGTAGCCAAAAGTGGCTGGAGAAAAACGAAACCATGGTGAATGGTCTCACTTTTAGTTCATGTCCACGAACCTAAAGGAAGTGTTTCAGTCATTTATTTACGCATATTCCTTGTTTCCTTACACTCAGTTCTGGCAGTTCTCATCTTCCAGACATCCAGTTCTCCAGTATACCCTACCTACTCTTTATCTTCAGTTGATGAACTTGTATATGTATTTGAGAAAGTCGGAGCTCACCTGTTCCCACTTACCATTTCTATCAGCCCTTTCCTCACCGTAGATGCCCATACACTCTGCCTTTACTGTTAAAATGAACTAATTGTCCCTGCTCCTATTTGAGACAATTCCTCCACTCCAACATTAGATCATGCTCTCTTTCTTTTATTCACTCTCATCTTCTCTCTCAGCTATTATCAGATTTTCCTTCTTTATTGGATCATTTCCATCAACTGACAAACATGTTATAATATACTCCATGGAAGAAAAATATTTTTTTAAACATTTATTTTATTTTTGAGAGACAGAGATAGAGCATGAGCAGGGGAGGGGCAGAGAGAGAGGGAGACACAGAATCTTAGGCAGGCTCCAGGCCCTGAGCTGTCAGCGCAGAGCCCGATGCGGGGCTCGAACTCATGGGCCGCGAGATCATGACCTGAGCCGAAGTCGGACGCTTAACCAACTGAGCCACCCAGGCGCCCCAGAAAAACATTTCTTCTCACATCTCCTTCCAGCTTTTGCTACATTTTTCTGTGCCGTTTATAGGAAAAGTTACATGTACTTGTACATCCTCGTCACTCTTCTCTTTTTTGAATTTTTTATAACATTTATTTATTTTTTGAGAGAGAGAGAGACACAGAGTGCAAGCAGGGGGCGGGCAGAGAGAGAGAGACACAGAATCCGAAGCAGGCTCCATGCCCCTAACTGTCAGCACAGAGCCCAATGTGGGGTTCAAACTCATGAACCACAAGATCATGACCTGAGCCAAAGTCAGAGGCCTAACCGACTGAGCCACCCACGTGCCCCATTCTCTGCTTTGCTCTTTTTTTTTTTTTTAATGTTTGTTTATTTTTGAGAGATAGACACACAGTGTGAACAGGGGAGGGTCAGAGAGAGAGGGAGACACAGAATCTGAAGCAGACTCCAGGCTTTGAGCTGTCAGCACAGAGCCCGACGTGGGGGCTCAAACTCACAAGCTGTGAGATCATGACCTGAGTCAGACGCCCAACCCACTGGGGCACCCGGGCGTCCCCTCTGCTTCGCTCTTAAACCCACCCCATTGCATGCTTGTTATGTGCCAAGTACTGTTCTAGGCTATAGCAGTAAACAAAACAGATAAAAAAAAGTCTTTGTAGAACTTAAGCTTTAGTGTTGGGAGAGATAAATAAAATAATAAGTAAATCATTTAGGTTGTACAGCTTCTATTTAAGGCTGTTTCCTTCAGTAGTGTGCTAGATCCCATTTTTACCTATTCAAAGGTGTACTCCTGCAGTTGTCTCTGTCTCCTGCACCAGGTTTTCTTTCTCAGTCATTCCTATCAGTATTTAAACATGGTGGTATTTCTCTCACCTTAAGAAATATTCTTGTCTTAAACTTCTACCTCTTAGCTATGCCTCATTTCCCTGTTCACCTTATATTATTGCTTGTTAAAAGAACTGTTGATTATGGGGCGCCTGGGTGGCTCAGTCGGTTGGGCGTCTGACTTCAGCTCGGGTCATGATCTCGCCATCCGTGAGTTCGAGCCCCACATTGGGCTCCGTGCTGACAGCTCGGAGCCTGGAGCCTGCTTCGGATTCTGTGTCTCCCTCTGTCTGCCCCTCCCCCACTTATGCGCGCGCTCGCGCTCTCTCTCTCTCTCTCTCTCTGTCAAAAATAAATAACTTAAAAAAAAAAAACCTGTTGATTAAATCTGTACTGTAATTCCTGCTTGTCAAGATCATTAGTGATCTCTGTGTTGTTCCAGTGGTCAGTGTTTAGTCCTCACTTTCCTTGACCTGCCAGGGATATAGTAGTTCACTCTCGTCCTAAGTATACTTTTCTCTCTTGGTTTCTGGGAGACACACTCCCTTAGTTTTCTTCTCACCTCACCAGTCATCCCTTCTCAATCTTTGTTTTCTTCTCCCCAGCAATTTACCATCAGAGTGCCCAAAGCTAAGTCCTTGGTCAGCTTCTATTCTATTCTCTATCTACACTTACCTTCATGGTGAAATTAACCATTATTTTTAAGGCTTTAAATACTGTATATTTGCTTTTGTCTCTTAAATGTGTATTTCCACTTCCCAAATGCCAGACTCATATATCTAATTGCCTACTTGACATGGCCACTTGGTTTTAATAGGAATCTTTTTTTTTTTTTTTTTTTTTTTTGAGAGAGAGAGAGAGCACGTGCGCAATCCAGGAGAGAGGCAGAGGGAGACAGAGAGAGAGGGAGAGAAAATCTTAAGCAGGCTGCATGCTCAGTGAGGAGTGGGGTTTGATCCCATGACCCTGGGGTCATGACCTGCACTGAAATCAAGAGTCGGATGCTCAACCAACTGAGCCACCCAAGCACCCCTGTAATAGGTATCTTAATCTTAATTTATCCAAGACTGAACTCCTGCTTTCCTTTCTAACTTGCTCACTGGTAGCTTTCCACCTTTTTGATATTGGCCACCCCATCTGCTCAGGTCAAAATCTTTAGAGATATGTTCAACTGCTCTTTTTCTCTGATATCCACATCCAGTGTGTTTGCAAATCCAGGGACTAAAAAGAAAATATATCTAGAATATTTACTCCTAACTGCCTCCATTGCAGCCACCATGATCCAGGCCTCCACCATCTGTCACCTGGATTACTGCATTAGCCTCCTAATTGTTTCTGGTGGCTCTCTCCCTCACCAATGAGCTAGTGGCCTTGTCTCCCGTTAATCTGCCTTCCCTCATCTACGTTTCCTCTGGCCCACTCTGCTACAGCCACACTCACTGCCTCCCTCTTCCCTGGACACACCAGGCACACTCCTCTATCTTAGGGCCTTGACACTGGCTATTTCCTTGCCTGGTATGCCCTTCTCCCATGATATCTGGATAGCCTGCTTCCTTGCCTTCTTCAGTTTTTTGCCCAGTTTCATCTCCATGAAGCTTTCCCAGACACTGTTGAAAGTGTTGTGTGTATGTATGGACACATGTGCATGTGTCCACTCACACATATATTTGTGTGTCCCTAGAATAGTTGAGTGAAAAAAGAATGAGTGAAATAATGAAAATGACTCTAGGGGTTTGGGCTTGGGTGACTGGATGAATACCATTAACTGGGATAGAAACATGGAATTAGGAGAAGAGTAGTGAGGTGAGGAATGGGAAATTATTAGGTATGTTGGAGTGTGAGGATGAAAATATTTTGTTTTGAATGTATGAGGTTAGAGTTCAAGAGCAGTGTCTGTGTTAGTGACATACACTTGGGACTTAGAAGTCACACTACAAAAGTTGAAATGAGGAAGAAAGAGTAACAAAAATAAATGGCCAGAAAATAAGAGAATCGACAGTGTGGTCCAAGGTTAGGAATTAACATGGCACATGTGGCAGAAATGCAGGCATAAGAGAGGTTTAGGGGAACAACTATAGGCATGTTGGAAGGAAGTGGAAAGAGGAAAAGGAGGAGGAAAGTAAACTATTGAGAAAATAGACCCCAGAATTGAAGATTTCAGTGAGGCTGCAGTGTAGGTATGATGACAGTGAGGTTTTGAATACCAGAAGGAGAGAAAAGTTATCTGAGGGTATATGAGAGTTTAAGATTTTATATAAGGTTAGTATATTTAGGAGCAGATAAGATCTGTGGTCTTGCCATGGAACTGAGTGACAGAGGTGACCCCCTCTTCAGAGTTGAGGTGTCATGGTTACTATCATAAACGTTATCCTTCCTTGATGATTAATGCAAGACATTGAGGTGAAGAACACGGCACCAGTTGCTATGGTCAACAAACTGGCAGACTGACTAAATATGATGGCTATAGGCCAGCTGCAGGTGGTTTGGTGGGTAATAGCATCCTGAGGTCTGAGCTCAGATGGACGGGATTTGCATTAGGTAGAGGAACAGTGATTGCAAGCTGAAACTCATATGAGGTCCAGGACTGTTTTCTTACTGCTCTAGCCCCAGTGTCTAATAGTGCTCTATACATAGTAGGTGCTCAGTAAGTACTTTTAATGGAATGAATCATGAACATGCCAGAAGTCTGTAAGGGAGGCAGTGACTTGAGGAAGAGACAAGTATAGTGATAAAAAGAAGTGAAAGGAGCAGCTGAGATATGGTTGAAGTTGCAGGGGAGGCTTTTTCAGTGGAAGATAGTGATTCTTCCTGTTTTCAGAAAATTAATATAGATGTTCAGTATCTAAGCACAATTTTCAATGTCTTTTTTGCACTGTAATTACCCTATGGTAAAAAATACTTATTCCAAAAGTGCTTTTCCCTTTTAATCTATTTTGTTACCAGAAAAAAAAACTGAACAAGAATTAAAAGATGAAGAAATGGATTTATTTACCAAATACTACTCAGAATGGAAAGGAGATAGGAAAAACACAAATGAATTCTATAAGACCATTCCCCGGTTTTATTATAGGGTAAGTGGTATCTAAGCAAATGTCTTAACAGAGTTTATAAGTGAAATGTAATTTTTAAAATGGGATCAGCATCTTTTATTTTGTATAAATACAGGATTATATTTAAAATTTTATATAGTCTTTCATTGTAGTTGATCTTACTGTTTTGGAATTGATATATCTCAGGGCTTGATATAAATTGGTATAAGAACACAAAGTTGTTACTTGGCCCCCTTTTTTTGGGTTACTGGCTTTTTATTCCTCATTTTCCTATGGATATTTGTGGTAGGTATTCTGTTGGATTATGTTGTCTTTTTATAAGACTTAGGTTTACTTGGCTGATCACCATTTTTAACTTTTGTCTTTTACTCATGTTCTAAGGTGTAATACATTTTGCTCAAGGTTGAACTGAAAAATAGATTAAAATGGAAAACTTGAAAAGTTAGACTCAATTATGTTTCCTCATGCCAAAACCGTGAAGTCTTTGATAAAGATTATAGTAAACAGTAAGACCTTAAGAAAGCTACTTAGAGCTGAAGTTGAAGGAATAAGACCTATTCAGTATTATGTAAAATGTGACCACTGTAGAAAAGTTAACTGTGGAATTTTAGCAGAATGTCTCTTAAACCTGTTACCTTCTAAACTCAATTATAACAATATTTACAAAGAAAGTAGGAGCAATGTATTAATATAAGTGAATTATCCAGATATTCTTCAAGTACAAACTTTTTCCAAGTAAAACAGTGTGGACATTCCTCAAAAAATTAAAAATAGTTCTACCCTATGACCCAGCAATAGCACTGCTAAGAATTTACCCAAGGGATACAGGAGTGCTGATGCATAGGGGCACTTGTACCCCAATGTTTATAGCAGCACTTTAACAATAGCCAAATTATGGAAAGAGCCTAAAAGTCCATCAACTGATGAATGGATAAAGAAATTGTGGTTTGTAAACACAATGGAATACTACTTGGCAATAAGAAAGAATGAAATATGGCCTTTTGTAGCAACGTGGATGGAACTGGAGAGTGTTATGCTAAGTGAAATAAGTCATACAGAGAAAGATAGACACCATGTGTTTTCACTCCTATGTGGATCCTGAGAAACTTAACAGAAGACCATGGGGGAGGGGAAGGGAAAAAAAAAAGTTAGAGCGGGAGGGAGCCAAACCATAAGAAACTCTTAAAAACTAAGAATAAACTGAGGGTTGATGCGGGGGTGGGAAGGAGGGTGGGGTGGGTAATGGTCATTGAGGAGGGCACCTGTTGGAAGGAGCACTGGGTGTTGTATGGAAACCAATTTGACAATAAATTTCATATTAAAAAAAAACTTTTTCCAAGTAAACCATTTTTATTGGAAACCTTTTTATAATACTGTTTGGCAGTCTTTTAAGAATTATATGACTAGGGGTGCCTGGCTTGCTCAATTGGTAGAGCATCCAAATCTTGATCTTGGGGTCATGAGTTTGAGCCCCACATCAGGTGTAGAAATTACTTAAAAATAAAATCTTTTTAAAAATTACATAACTAAGCCACATTTGTCATGGAAAAGAGAAAATACAGCTGATATTCTCCCATAACATTGCAGACATATAAGTATTTTTGCATGAATTCTTCTACATACTTCTGTGTACATGTATGTGTTTACCAAAAATGGGATGATACCATACATACTTCTGCTTTTTGTATTTCATAATTTCTTAAACAGTCCACTAGACAACTGAAAATTTTCGGTAGTCTGGGGGCACAGGAAGGGAATTGACATTTATTGAGTGCCAGTGTACTTCAGAGCATTTTATATTCATGATTTCATTTAATCAGGATTATGAAATAGTATCTTACTAACCCAGGAACAGCCCTTAGATGTTGATATGATCCCATTTCTGAACCCAGGAGTCCATTTTCCTGTATTTCCAGTACTAACCTTTGGCTTGCCATTGTGGTTCCTGAGGGAAACCCCTATGTCCCATTTCTGTTTCTTCCTTCTCTCTGTGACCTCTTCCAGATCCCAGATGGTTTCCTGTTTGCAGATGCGGATTTGTGGGATGTTCTTTTTGTTGTTTCTTCTCTCTCTGTCTTTCCACAGCCTTGGAGAACCTAGTATCTTTATCTTTGGTCACCACTTCCCTCCTTGGCAGATTAGCTGGTTGACTAGCCATTGGAGCACAGTCAGAGTTTCATCCCCAGCCTTACTTCCCAATACTTCTTCCTTTTCATGGGAGGGATGGCATCTTAATTCTTGGAAATGAAAGGTGGAAATCATGGCCAATTTGGATTATGGTTACTTAGCCACATTTAATGGGGCAGAGATATGGAAGAAGAAATCCTTGAAGCAAATTGTTTGAAGTCGAATTGGAATGAGTCATTTTTAAGCCCTGTTTATGGAAATCACTCCAGTGGGCATACCCTCTACTTGGAGGGGAACATAATAGACACTGACTTGACCATTTCCAAGGAGTAAGATCATCCAGGCTCAGAAGTCATATTCTGCTAAGGCGGTCTATCTTCAGTCCTAATTTCATTCTGTCAGTCTAAGGTTATAGTGGAAAGAGCACTCTGAGAATATAAAATGAAACTTGGGCTGGACCGTTAGTTCTTTCTAGGCAGGGATATGGTCTTGCTGATCATTGAATTCTCTGTGGATCTTTTTTTTATTTTTATTTTTTTTTATTTTTTTATTTTTTTATTTTTTTTTTCAATGTTTATTTATTTTTGGGACAGAGAGAGACAGAGCATGAACGGGGGAGGGGCAGAGAGAGAGGGAGACACAGAATCGGAAACAGGCTCCAGGCTCCGAGCCATCAGCCCAGAGCCTGACGCGGGGCTCAAACTCACGGACCACGAGATCGTGACCTGGCTGAAGTCGGACGCTTAACCGACTGCGCCACCCAGGCGCCCCAGTGGATCTTTTTTTTAAATGTGTGTTTATTTTTGAGAGAGAGAGAGTGTGTGTGCATACAAGTAGGGGAGGGGCATAGAGAGGTAGGGACAGAGGATCTGAAATGGGCTCTGCACTGACAGCAGAGAGTCCGATGCAGGGCTCAAACTCAACGAACCGTGAGATTATGTCCTGAGCCGAAATTGGACACTTAGAACTGACTGGGCCACCCAGGTGCCCCTAAATGAACTTTTTAAATTAATAACTTGAAGTTAAGAAAAATTGAGATGCAAAAAGTAATTTGAGGGTGTGTACTTAATTTATGTACTATTTTATGAGGCCAAATATATTTTACATAATCCAGAACTGTGTAAATCCTAGAATTTAGGTGTAGAGAAATTAACTCTAGTGTATTTTTAGCTGCCAGCTGAAGATGAAGTCTTACTACAAAAATTAAGAGAGGAATCCAGAGCTGTCTTTCTGCAGAGGAAAAGCAGAGAACTATTAGATAATGAAGAATTACAGGTAAGCATAGAATAAAAGGTTGCTTTGGATGTTAGCTATTTTGTATTTGTACTAAAGTCATACAGGATCTCAGGGTTTCTTAATGGAATCACTGCTGCAGAGTGGGTGAAGGCCCTGGAGCAATGGTTCCTGTCAAAGTCAGCTGCAGAACTTGCCTGGGCACAGTTCTCCCCAAAATAGTTTTGTTTTTTCAAGTCCCTAGGTGGAAACCAATTTGACAATAAACTTCATATATTGAAAAAAAATAAAAAATAAAGTCCCTAGGTGACCTAACAAGGCCAAAGTTGAGAGCCACAAGTATGGGGTCAAACTGGGGGGGTTCACATCCTAGCCAGGCTCTGTGATCTTGGACAGTGGACTTAACATTTCTGTGCTCCAAATCTCATTTATAAAGTAGAGATAACAGTGTCTATGTCACATAGTTTATGGATTAAGGAAGTGTTGTATAAGAAAACTTTAAACTTCGGCATTCAATAAATGCTAGCTATTTGTATTATGTTCTTAGTAATCAAAAGGATAATAGGGGATAAGATTCATCTTAATACTAAATTTCTATCATGCTACCATTTTAATGGAAATAACACATTTAACCAATGTTAAATTTTGTTTTGTTAACTGTAACATCTTCATTTCTGCAATTCTCCTAAGAACTTATGGTTTTTGCTGGATAAGCACCAAACACCACCTATGATTGGAGAGGAAGCAATGATTAATTATGAAAATTTTTTGAAAGTTGGTGAAAAAGCTGGACCAAAGTGCAAGTAAGAATAGTATAACTAACAAAGGAGTATGTTAAACATTTTAAATGCCTCAAATAAATGTTAATGAAAATATAAGCCAGTGGGGTGACAATTTGAGTCCATTTGAGTTATTAATCAAGTTTAATAAAATTAGTCAAAATTCTATTGGTATGAAGTTGTTAAAAGAAATAATACTTTATAATATGGAGTATTTACATATCTTGCAACTACGTATATATAGTACATTTATTTACAACAGTATGGGCTTTCATTCTTAGGATGATAAAATACAAAGATGTATGACTTAATATTTTAAGTTTTGAACTACGATTCTCACTTTGATTTTTTTCGTTTTGATTTTTAATTCTTTGGATTCATGCTGTTGTTAACTAATTCAATATAGAAGTCATTTTTATATTATGTTGGCATATGATTTTAATCTTTATTTCCTTTCCTTAGGCAGTTTTTTACAGCAAAAGTCTTTGCTAAACTCCTTCATACAGACTCTTATGGAAGAATTTCTATTATGCAATTCTTCAATTATGTCATGAGGAAAGGTGATTTCATTTTCATTGTGCTTAAATTCCTCTGGGAATCAAAGAGTTTTTGGTACATGCTTTTATAGTATCCCTTCCATGTGAAACAACTCTCTTAGTAAGTCTGAATAGCAGAATTTGACCCAGATTTGTTTTCTTATTACTCCATTTCTCTCCTGGAATTTACTAGAGCTGAGATTTCTTACCATAAATTTGGGTTCATTATTATAAACAAAACAAAAACATGTATCCTAAAGATACTAACTAAAAAATATTAGGGGTGCCTGGGTGGCTCAGTTGGTTAAGTATCCAACTCTTCATTTTGGCTCAAGTCGTGATCCCAAGGTCATGGGATTAAGCCCCTCGTTGGGCTCTGCACTGAGTGTAGAGCCTGCTTGAGATTCTCTCTCTCTCCCTCTGCCCCTCTCCACTTGTATGCTCTCTTT